TAATATCTAATACACCAGGGTACATTTACTAAAATTAACAAATTAACATCGATAGAATACTATTAAGTAAATATAGACTTTACTCACATTGAGCTACTTTTTCCACTCCTGTCATATTTGTTTTTTTTTTCTGTTTTTTGTCTTTTTTGAAAACACTAGACACGGGATCTGAGTAGATGCTTAGTCCTGGGCACGGTAGGTTCCATGGCCACTTCTTTTGCTGGGAAATCAGTTCCTTCATCAGAAGCACTGCTGTGTGGAATGCCATGACAACGACAACACTCCAGAAGTACACACATGGTAGCAGAAGCAGCATGGCAAAGGAAGGCAAATACATTTTCAGAATATGTGTCTAATTCGGGGAGGACCATCTATGCTCCCTGCATGAAGAAGGAAGTCCAATATAATCAAACTTCCCCCCAGGCAAGTGTCTCAGGGAAGACGCCGTATCAACAGCTTACTGTTGGTCTCTGCTGTCGCCCTCAGTCTCACTGCGTCATAATAAACTATCCAACTCATTGATATATAACTACCAGCACTTTATTGTGCTCCTGGATCCTGTGGGTCAGAGTTTGGAGACTGCTCTTTTTATGCTCTACAATGTCTAGACCTTAGCTAGGAAGACTTGCTGCTATGGTCTGAATGTTTGTGTCCCCCCAAAATTCACATGTTGAAATCCTACCCCCAAGTTGATGGTGTTAAGAGGTGGGGCCCGTGGGAGGAGGCTAGGCCATGAGGGTTGAGCCCTCATGAATGGGATTAGCACCCTTATAAAAGAGGCCCCAGGGCCGGCCTGGTGGCACTCGGTAGAGTGTGGCGCTTGGGAGCGCGGCGGCGCTCCCGCCGAGGGTTCGGATCCCATATAGAGACCGGTCTGCTCACTGGTTGAGCGCGGTGCGGGCACGACACCAAGGGTTGCGATCCCATTGCCGGTCGCGGTACAGGCGCGACACCAAGGGTTGTGATCCCGTTACCGGTCACGAAAAAAGACAAAAAGGAAAAAAAAAAAAAAAGAGGCCCCAGAGAAATCCTTCTACCCTTCTGCCATGTGAGGTCACAGCAAGAAGGCACTGTCTCTAAGGAAGCAGACCCTCAGCAGGTACCGAATCTGCCAGCACCTTGATCTCAGACTTCCAGCCTCCAGAACTGTGAGAAATAAATTTCTGTTGTTGATAAGCCAGCTAGTCTATGGTATTTTGTTACAGCCGACCAAAACCAACTGAGAGGCTTGAAGAGCTGGGGTAACTCAAATGGCCGGGCTGGAATCATCTGAAGGTTTCTTCACTCACATTCTGGCACCTGGAATAATCCAAAGGCTGGTCTCAGCTGGGACTGTTGACCAGAGCACATACTTGTGTCCTCTTTGTGTGGCTTGGACCTCTCACAGCCTGGCATCTGAGCTTTGAGAGGGAGCATCCCAGGAGGGAATCTATACCAAGCAAGTGTTCCAAGAGAACTAGGCAGAAGCTAATGGCCTTACCACCAGGTCTTCGAAGATACATAGCATCACTACTAGCAGACGCTATTGGGGAAGGCAGTCATAAGCCCACCCAGACTCAAGGGAAGGGGATAAAGAGCCCCTTTTCTCAATGGGAGGTGTGTCAAAAAATTCAGGGCCCTCTTAAAACCCTTGCAACGGGTTCTGCACTCAGCACTGGTGTTAAGCAAGCTCAGCCTTGGTGAGGGGGTGTCTGTGTTTCTGAACCCATGCACAGCCTCCATCCCTGCCACCACGCACCTTATAAATGAGCCCATCCAGCAAGTACTGGGGTGACAGGAGAAAGAGGCTGACAGACATCCACAGCACATGCCAGTTTCCCACCTTCTCTGTGGGGGGTGCCCATTGGTAAAAATGGTTGAAGTCACACATTTAAATGTGGTACATGTTGCCTCCAAAATCTAAACATTCCCATAAGCACTGCACATCTCAATGGAGGCAGTACAAGGAGCAGCATCTTGTCTGTCGGAGGTAACAATCAACATGCTCCAGGTCACTGAATCCCCAGGAACTTCACTGAGATGACAGACGCCTGAATTCGTAGAGTGAATTTGTCCCACCCTTTGTTTCACACATGGCATCTAGAGTACTTACTCCGCCTGTTCATCAGATCCAATTACATGACATCGCCAACGTAGTGGGCCAGTGTGATGTGGTGTATGAGGTCAAGACAATCAAGACCTATAATATGGCATATAACAAAAAGGTTGACTAGCCCTAAAGCAAGGCTGTAAAGGTGTTATGTTACTCTGCTTGGTGAAAACAAAACTGGTACAGCCTCTCTTATTATGGTATCCTATCATTCCAGTTCCTTCTAGGGAACCCAGATCTGTAACAGCATTCATACGTCAGCAATTTACAACTGGAGACAGTGAGCACAGAGAACTGTTCAGTGCAGTTTTGCTACAAAGGGGACTGAAGAAATGGGTAATAGCTGACGAAGATGGAGGGAATTCAGTTTCATGTTTGGTGTGTGTCTGAGGATGGGAGATATTACAACATATTTGTATGCTGATGGGGATGATCCATCTCAAGGAATAATAAATATACTGAAAGTGAGGAGGTGCAAAAAGGTTTGTAAAAGCTGCAGCTATACAGCTAGTCACACACTTTGCTTTAGAAATAAATCATCAGCTACACATTACATTTCTGTCAAAATGGGGAGAGACTATTCGTCAGCCTCAGAACCAAATCTGTGACACCTGGATGAGATCTCTGTGGCCCTTTTAGAAATAATTTATTCTTTTGTTCAGCTCGTCAATTCCTAATCTTCTCTTGACCACAAACCTACAATTCTGGTTCTTTAAAGTTAGTTCTTAGTGTATACAAAATATTCTTGATGGCTATTTCATTACTTTTAAAAATTCTACGTAGACAGTTACTAAAATCTGTAAAGCTCTTTCCCACCTCAAGAAATACTGAGCTGACATAGTCTTCAAAAATACATTTTGAAAAAGTGAAGGGCATCTATCCTAATCACGGCTGCCGAAGAGTCTAATAACTCCCATCACTCCTATTACCTAGAGACCCCAGCCCCTCTCCCCAAAACTATCCTTCTTTCTGTCCTTTACCAGACGTGGCTCTTTGGCGTTTCCCTTGATTCCTTTCCAACGCATTTCTCTTTTGCTCACATGTAGCCACAGACCATTTTTTTGTTGCATAAAGCCAAATACAGCCAGGAACCTTAAATCCTGTTTCAAGACCCCTAGAAAGACTGTCTCCCAAGTCAGGTCCCAGACACAGGTTTGGGGGAGTCCCAATCTGGTTTCTACCTTAATGAACTAGATTAATTTATCTGTATGCTCCCTGCCAATCCTAATGTCCTAGCTTCTACAGAGATGTCTCTACCCAACTGACTAGAGCAGGATAGTTCTCTACCCAGACTGCACATTAGAAATCACCTGGGGAACTCTTCCAACACTACAGCCTTGCCTATCAAATGACTCAGAACCTCTGAGCACTGGGCCTTCATAAGTGGTGTGCAACCCAGGTTGAAAACCTGGTCTTGACACTGACGGTCAGAGTCAGAGCACACACTTGCTTCTTCCATATCCCTGACTTTCATGATAAAGATTTACAACTATTATTTAGTTACCATTACTCTTATAAATTGATACTCCTTCTAAACAAAGAAGGAGTAACAAGATTGTTTGGTGCCATTTTTAAGTTTTTATTTAATAGTTTTAATAAAGGGGAAAGACTGATAAATAACTTGCATAGGAGTTACATGACAGGAACGGGGACCAGGCATGATCCTGTTTAAACAAAATTTATTAAAATGTCTCTTTTTAAGTAATAGGGTGGTCTTCATCCCATCCTAGCTGACCACAGTATTGGCTTTTGGCTAACTAGATTTTACGAGAAAATCCCAGCCTTAGGTTTCTATCCAAATAGTAAAAATACCCTTCAAAAAAAAAAAAGACAGATTTAACAGTTGAAAACGTGTGGGAATTGTCACTGGGGCACTCTCCTTTGGCCCCACCAAGGTCACTCCGGGAGTCTGAACAAAACACTCTAACTTCTAGGGTTTACAGCCTCAAGCTTGCATGGGACCCTCACATTGTTGACTGATTGGCTACCTGATTCTGGCCTTTGCCTGACCTTGCTCCCTATTTTAAATGAAACTCTCTGCACACCTTCACATACATGTGCACACAAACTGGCTTTGCTTCTGTTTATTTACTGATCACACCTGACTTTTCCCTTTGCAAACATCAGGATCTGATGTGATATTCCTGATTCTAAATTCTGCTTTCTCTTTCTTTCCCTCTCCATTACCCTTCATTGAGTGAGTACCTACCACCAGCCAGGCACTGTAATAGGTGTTTTATAAACATTATAGCTATTATCCACAAGACAGATATTATTCCCACTTCACAGATGAAGAAAGATTACTACTGAAGGTCTTGCAGCCAGTAACTGTCAGGGTGTTATCTGAACCAGACACAAGAGTTGACTGAATCAGGTCATCACAGGAAGTTACTTTACAGGGAAAGGAATCTACATCAGGTACATTTTATGTCATGATATCTACAATATTTGGGTTTAACGTGAACATATTTGCATTTGAAAGTGTAAACACTGTCCTGATGAGGTCTTTGAAAAGCAGAGTAACCTTGTCTAAAAAGATACCTTCATTATTTCTAGTGAATTCAAAGTGCAAATAGCTAAAAATGGAAGCTATTCCAAAGTCGGTATGAATAAAACCCACAAGAAAGCTAAAAAAAATATTTTATTTAAATGATACAGAAAAAAATTATACATACGTTAAAATCATTAAAAGTTCATACGTTAAAAAATACTAAAAACCCAATAATTTACAAAATGATAAAATCTAAAGTGATGGGAAAACATAGAATACTTTAATTTGGTCCCCTCAACTAATGAAATACCTAGTTATGACTGAAGTTGGGTTAAAGGCACATGACAACATAATTCCTTTAGATACACATTTTTTAAAATTTATCTATCTATCTATCTATCTATCTATCTATCTATCTATTTATTTTTGGCAACTGGCAATTACAGGGATTGAGCCCTGGTCCTTGGTGTTATCAGCACTATTCTCTAACCAACTGCACAGACCAGTCAGCCAAGCTGAGAAATTTCTTATTGATACATTTTATACAATGAACTGCTATTCCTTAAAATGGAAGAGTGAACAATTTATTTAAAAAATTGGGAGTGTGTTATGTACCTTTAATGAAACCATTACTTTCTCCAAAGATTCACACAGATTAACATTGCAAAATAGTTATTTCTAAATAACACAGACTTCTGAAATATTCAGTAATCAGTTGAGTTTAACAATATGCAAATGAAATATAATTTATTCTAATTTCCACAATAGATCTACAAAGTCACAATTTTTCCAAGGAAACCACTCACTTCGTAGATGCAAAAACACACTGTAGTTTTTCCATTATCTGTCTGTGATGATTTCAGCTAGCTGCATGTTTAATCATTCACTTTGAATTTATGTGTCCTTAAATCTGAAAGAAAACCAGCATTTATGTCCCAAACAAAACATTCTATCTTAAGCTACTGAATTGAACACTAAAAGGCACTAAAAATCTGTGATCTACAACACTATCTAGGTTCTCCATTGACAACTGTAAAGCCATGTCAGCAGTAAAAACTCAACACTAAATAGCCAAAGAAGATTTAACCACATTAGAAGGGGAGGGGTGGGTGAAAGGGTCAGACAGACAGGGAATGTTCTGAGATGCATGAGAATTATTCAGGAGCCCTGAGCTGCTTGTGGCGACACATGTAAAAAAAGACATAGGGCATGTGGTGAGGAGTCCCAGTGGTCCCTAGACACAGCGCAATGTATGAAGGACACTTTATACATCAGCATGGTCATGAGTGTGCTAGCAACTATTTTCAGACTGACAACAACAAGATTATGTCCTTTGCTTCTTTACACGGTTACACTGACTTTCCCTTAAAATCCCACAGTGAGAATATACTGTTAGCTAAAATGTCAGTTTTCTTTAACACCCCAATAATTTAGTGTATTAACATTTACTTCTCTGGGCCTCAGTTACCATATCTGTAAATTGCTATACGAAGCAGATTTCTTCCAAGTTCTGATATAAGTGACATGAAGGGAGGGACTACTTTTGTCTTTTTACCATGCCCCTCAGCACATAGAGTACTCTGAATACACACTTATTGAATAAATGAGTTATCTGACACTCTGAATACAGACTCTGCCATGTAAGCACCGGGCCCAGGGGTGGGGTGGTGTGTGAAAAAGCAGAAATTCCATAAATAACACGGAAGAAAAACGTTGATGTGTTATCCATCAAATTTTTATGAGGCAGCCAGAACAGTTAGAAAACGGCAGAATTCTTTTTTTCTGAATTAGGTAAAATTGCCCATTCTTCCTATATTCCCATTCCTTAAGAACAATCTAGCCAACAGTCATTGTGTATAAGTTGTTGGAAGTTGACTTCAATATAAAATAGTTTAATGTGTGAATATATCTATATAGGAAGGTACAAACACTATTTATCTGTAATGGATTGAATTATGTCCTCCCGAAAACTCACTGAAGCTTGAATTGTGTCCCCCAAGTTTTATGTATTAGAAACTTAGCCCCACTTAACTGTTAAGAGGGTAGGAAATCCTATTATGGTAATTGAAAGGTGGAGCCTTGAAGAGGTGATTGGATTGTAGGACCCTGCAGTAGTGAATGGGTTAAAAATGGTGGTCAGGGGCGTGGTTCTGGGGGCTTTAAAAAGAGAGTGAATGAGGAGGTTACTCTTGGCACGCTCTCAGTGCTTCTTCCATCTTGCAATGTGAGACCCCTGGGTGACTGTTGCCACCACCAAATGGACTTTGGATTTCCCATCCTCCGAAACTGTAAGCAAATAAATTTTGTTTTCTTTATAAAATACCCAGTTTCAAGTATTTTGTTATAAGTAACAGAAACGGTCTAAGACACTATCTTTATGAGGTCTTTGAAAGGCAGGTTAGGTTGCCTTCTCTAAAAAGTAGTCACTTAGAACTAAATTTTACAAAAAGAGGTCTCAGTCCCTTTTATCTCAGAGTACAATGGACAAACACCTCTGCTGTAAACATGACTAAAAATAATTCACAAGTAGTCTGTTACAGCTGTGTCTACTGAAAATTGTCATGAAAGATATTTTTCAAATAAATTCATTATTAAAAATATCGTTCCAGATATCTTACCTTCAGAAATCATCCAAGGAGTGAGATAAACATTACAACCCCCATAAACTGGGTAAATAACAACAACGGAGTGAAAAACGACCACACATGCCATAAAGCAATGTTGAAGCTAAAAAGAATAAAAATAAACAGTTGACAACTGTAACTTAACATATACAGACATGTTTTATTCTAGAATCTAGATTTAGAGAACTCAATTTGGGAAAGTTCATCCAGCCAGAAACTTTCTATATATACCTTGTTCTCAGATATGTGATCTCGGCAATACTGGAAAGGAAAACTCTATATATACATATGGAACTATCACAATTTCTTTAAAAAGTTCTTGGAACTGGAATCACTAAAGGCCTTTTAATGGGAGTTGGCATTGCTTACTAGCAACTTAAGTCTCTTCAAGTTAGAGCCTACAATGGAACTTATATTAAAATAGCTATAGCCTGCTTTTATGATCTCACACGCTATCAACCTATCATGATAAAAAAGATAAAAGTACTCTCTTTAAAACAGAGTGAAATAAGTAGTCATTTATAAGTTGCTATTAAATTTTCATTGAGAAAAACACTATTCCTGTCACCAAAGGAAAAAATAAAACATCTTCTAAGTGCAAATGATTTTGTTTGTTTGTTTGTTTGTTTGGTTTTTTTAAGTGCAAATGATTTTTAAGAATGAATTTGTAAGAGCAGAAGGTAATAAGGAAAACAATAAATAGATAATTAAATAAGTTTTTCAAATAATTGTTGGTTTTAATATAATATTTTGTTAAATGTGAATTTTAAAATCTATAACCCAACTGACCTAAAAAATTAACATTTCTGGGGGTGACCTTAGCCTTATGAGAAAAAATAAAATACATCTATATGCCTACATCACTGAAGGGTTAATAGTAACCACATCACAATGTCAAATATCCTTAAACTTCAACTTCAGAAAATATGTCATAGAAGGCACACATTTACACTGAATGTGTATAAAGGTGTGTGGCTTTTCCAAAATCAAAATTCAATTAATAAAAAGGAAAAAAAAAAAAAAACACTGAAGACCTACACTCTTAGTTTACACAGTCTATGAAGAGTAGTTTTCTTTCAGGTTGGCACAATCATGGGATATATTTCCTTTGTGTTGACCGTAATTTACAGATTTTCTTCAGTGATCAAGTATTACTTTTATAAACAGAAGAAACAAAAAAACTTTCTTTCCACTGAGTACCTATTAACTTATGAAGAATGATATTCATTGTGGCATTTAGAATAAAAATAACTGCAAATCAGGGAACTGGTTAAATAAACCATGGTATGTCCATGCTGTGAAAACTATATAACTGTTTAAAAGGATGAGACACATCTATATGTACCATTATGAAGAAATTCCAAACTATATGGTTCTTTGAAAAAGAAAAGGAAAAAAGAAAAGACGATCAACCATTCTGAAAAACAGTTTGGGGCCAGCCACCAAAAAAAATCAAAAAACCAAAAGAAACAAAATAGTTTGACATTATTTACTGAAGCTGGAGGTATGCATACACTATGACCCAACAATTTTGCACATACACACACGTACACACATACACGTATACCTAACAGATATATGTGTACATGTGCTACAAGAGACATGTACAAAATGTTCTTAACAGAATCCTTCATAATAACCCCAAATTGGAAAAAACCCAAAGCAGTCAACAGTGGAACAGATAAACTGGGATGCAGTTATACAGTGAAATGTTAAACAGCGATGACAATGAACAAATGTCATGGGCAACAACATGGATGCATCATACATAACGCTGCACATAAGCAGCCAAATGTAAAGAACACATACTATCTGAATCCATTTCTATAAAGTTCAAAAGTATAGACAAAAAAGAATAGGGTGTTGGGCCGGCCCGTGGCTCACTCGGGAGAGTGCGGTGCTGATAACACCAAGGCCACGGGAAAGAAAGTAATTACCATAAAGGTCGGGACAGTGTTTACCTGTGGCAGGAAGATGTAGTGACAGAGGGGCATGAAGGGGGTGACCAGGGTGCTGGCTCAGTTCTCCTTCTTGACCTGGGTGCAGTTTACACCAATGCTTATTTTTTTTTTCTTTTAAAAGATGACCGGTAAGGGGATCTTAACCCTTGACTTGGTGCTGTCAGCACCACGCTCACCCAATGAGCTAACCGGCCATCCCTATATGGGATCCGAACCCGTGGCCTTGGTGTTATCAGCACCGCACTCTCCCGAGTGAGCCACAGGCCGGCCCACACCAATGCTTATTTTGTGATCATTCATTCAGCTGTACATTTCAGTTTTTTCTGCTTTTCTGTATGTATTATATGTCATCATGAAAAAAAAGATTTAAAAAGCAAAATGCAGAATATTGTGGAATTTCGGGCCGGCCCAGTGGCGCACTGGATAGTGCGCCGCTTGGGAAGCGTGGCGGTGCTCCCGCCCTATAAGAACATTTTCTAAGGTTATACAAAATGTAAAACAATATGATGAATTTGTTGGAGGGAGAATGGGTTTTGAATCTGGATATCCCTGGGTTCAGATCTGCCACTTACTCTTTTTTTTTTTTTTTTCCTTTTTTTTTTTTTTTTTTTTTTTTTTTTTTTTTTTTTTT